CGGGCGCGACCCGGAGGGGTCAGCGGGCGGGGCGGGGTTATAGTCCAAAATTGTGGGCCGACCCGTAACCGGCCCGGAACCCGCAGCGGGTGGGCTTATTTTCACGCGGGCCGTTACCGGGCGGCCCGGACCACCCGGATTGACACCTCTAAATGAACGACTCGTTCCACCTAACACCCTTATTCTTATGTTTGTTCTTCCACGAAAAAAATATTATGGGGAATTATTAAAATATCCATAAAAATTATCCGAGCAGATTTTTATGTCAAACAATCTTATGCACGCCCACCTCTTGGCATGAGCATGTTTAATCTTTAGCTTGAGCATACATATTTCTAGGCATAAGCACGCCCACATCTTGGCATGAACACTAATATTTAATGAGCATGCTTAATCCTTGGCACGAACTTGTCTGTTTCTTGGCATGAGCATGCCTACTCTTTTGCATGATCATGTTGATCTCTAGGCATGAGCACGACCACCTCTTGGCTCGAGCATGCCTAATTCTTGGCTTTAACATGCCTATTTCTAGGCATGAGCAAGCTTAATCCTTGGTGTGTGCATACTTATTTCTAGACATGAAAGTCAACGTCTCCAACTATGGTTGCACCATTACTTCCCTCTCGGTGCCAGACAAAGATGGTATTTTATTGGATTTATTGTCCAAAATCCCCATTTTTTTGGTTTTTCTGTGTGTGCTTGTGTTAATGATGTTTGATTACCTTTTTTTTTTCTTTTTTTTTGAGAATTTTTTGAAGGGAAGTTGGTTGATGTTGTTCTTGGATTTGACACGCTTGAACCCTATCTGGTGAGTCAGATATGTATATCACTCTTACTGAAATCCCCTTGGGAATTTTTGTGTTGATCTAATGCTTATAGTGGAATTTGGTATGTATCAAAGAAAAATGAAGTTTTCTAATTAATGGGTTTTAAATTGAGTTCAGTGATTAGGTTCGCTATAGGTTGAGTAATGACAGTATTTTGAACCCAATCTGTGGGTGATGAGTTAATATCTGTGCGTGTTGGATTTGTTTGTGTAGAAAGGCGGTGAACCTTATTTTGGCTGCATCGTAGGCCGGGTAGCAAACAGGATCAAAGATGGAAAATTCACACTCAATGGCGTTGAGCACTCTGCCAATCAACAAGCCAACAAACAGTCTCCATGGTATTAGACCTTCTGAAATCTTCGTATCTGATGGTTGTAATGCATGCTTAGTATTCAGTATTAGATCGTGCTTTAAAGTAGAATAGACAAAATTTGAACATTCAGTTTCTTATACACTTCTAGTGTTGTCTGATTCTTGTCATTTTTGATTCTTTAGTATTCGTTCAATCTTCTTGCCTTCGGCATCATGATTTTGTATCTATCTTCATGCTTTTACAGTTTTTTGAAGAGAAGTGAGAGTCTTGATATGAGTTTTCCAAGTAAAATCCTATTTCTATCATTTTGGATTGTTCATTTTCTCCAATATCTCGTGTACAGGTGGACACAAGGGATATGAGAAGGTTATTTGGGAAGTTGCTGAATATAAACAAGGTGAAAATCCATCAACTCTCTCTCTCTCTCTCTCTCTCTCTCTCTCACTCACACACACACACTGTACAAGTATATAATTGTGCGTGTGTCCATTCTTGTATTTAATGATATAGAGGTTCATCGAAGTAATACACAAAGTGAGGCA